TTCATACCTACAAAATGATTTCAACGATATTAAAAAATAAAACAATTCACAAACTATAATAATCTATATATGCATCTTCATTTATTCACAAACGCTTGTATATATGGTTATAGTTATATTTATGTATGATTATAATTATATTCATATATGATTATATATAGACATAAAAACGCTATAGCTATATTAATTTATAATTATAGCTACATTAGTGTAAATTTATTGATATAAAAAATAAATATAGATTAAAAAACCCATTCATGTTTGTTATGCATCTAAATTTAAAAAATGTTTTCACTTGAACATATTTAATGTTCAAAAACTAATTAGTGGACCTTTCAAAAACATTGATGCGTCAGGTATGAATAAAAGGAACATAAGAAGCATGATGAACAGGAAGAAAAAGTTAAATATATCCAAAGGATCTCCAACAAAACTCATATTCAAAGACCCATATTTCATTGAGTTCAATGAATCATTTCTCTCTCACAAAATTCATCAAACATGTTCTATGCACAACCTTTTCCTTTGAATCTGATTCCAGATCTGCATGGCTATCTTTTCCGTTGATTATAGGGGCTTGAAATCTTGGATGTTCGATCGACGACTGAACCCATACACATTGTCGGCTGGATAAGAAACGATACCCAAACCAAAAACAGTATTATTCTTAAATGAATACTTTTTTAATTAAAATGATGTATTCCTAGAAACAAAAAATTATAATCTTCACCAAAGGTAAAGGTTTCTACTCATTTTAGTGTGGCCCAGATCATTGAGAAATCAAAAGGGAACACAATATTATTCGTGGATGAAAATAGAAGTATAGAAAGACTTACCAGAATACAAAATTTACCCTCCTTAGAACCAAAAGAATTGCAAAATCGAGACCATACCTTCCAAATTGAAATCAATTTGCATAATCAAGTCCTATTACTCGATTTTTTTTCATAATCAGCCCTACATAGATTGAATGTCAATGTCAGATGAATCACAAGAGTCGATGAGAGGGAAAGAGATGTAGACGTGAGGAACCACCGTCTGATGAACAAGATGACATTGGCAGATGAACCCGAAATGCTGATCATATATGTTCTTCCGAGGGTCCAATTAGGGTTGCGATGAGAGAGAGAACAGTAAGAAAACTCGATTTATTTAGAAGACGGGGAAGATTGAGGGAACGAACGAATGTAGAAGATACAGGGATGGAAGCAAGCATAGCAAATGGTGGAGGAACAGGGAAGACGGTGGAAGGGCTAATTTGGAGACCGATGCTGATTAAATTGATGGGTGAGATTATGACGAGCCCTAATTTATCAGAGATGAGAGATGGGGGAAATAATGACGTGATCCTCTAAATATAAATATAGGTCGATTTTATGGAAGTCAAACGAATTGTAATTCCCATAATGCCCTTACATTCATTTTAGCCTTATTAATTTAACCACATAACTTTCATAATTTACATAAATGGCACCTTTTTAATAACCATAGATATTACTATTTGGAAGGTTAAGATCTGTTCTCGCGTTCTCAACCTTTTAGGTGTTCTCATTTGATCCTACTCCTATATATATATATATATATATATATATATATATATATATATATATATATATATATATATATATATATATATATATATATATATATATATATATATAAGTATACGGTGTATTTTAAAATTTTAAAATAATGATAATAAATTTGTATTAATAATTTCTAAATTAATCTTTTTAATTTATCAAATAATTAAATTTAATTAAATAATGAGGATAATTCAAAGATTCTAAATTTTAGGAGATCAGATTACCAATTTAAATATTCAAATTTTATCCAATTAAAACAATATCTTTAAATGTAATCATCCTAATTTAGATCTTAATTATCTCAAAAAATTTCGCTGAACAGGATGTCCCCCACAACATGGAAGAAGGCTCCACGTTGTGGCAAAAGAAAAATACGTGGATCAGACAGTTGGCCACGACATGACAAAAGAGCCCACATCGTGGCGATAAAACAGAATGACGATTCTGTTTTTCTCCAATTGTTCAAGTTCAATTTATGCACATTCAATTGTTTGACAACCTAATGCTCTTATACCACTGATGGGTTTTATATGTCATAATCCGGAAAATACCTTAAACTCTTAAGGGTGCATGCAACCTAATTGAATTTATGTCATAACTGTATTGAAGCAACATAATATTGAACAATAAAACTCTAACCCTAGTTGAAATCGAAAATTCACAAGGATGATTAACATACCTCTGATTTGTTATTGTAAACAAACCCTTTTGATCAATCTAATAATCTCTTGAAAACTAGCTTCAAGTGTGTGCAAGCCTCTAATGGTTCACACCCACAACATAAGAACCCTAGAAGATTTAGGAGAGAGGGGAGAGGTAAGAATTTTCGGCTATGGTCTCTTAGAAAGCTTAGCCGGAAATTCCAAGTCTTAGGCCTGTATTTATAGTTGATTAGGAAACACTTACAACCCTAATTTGAACATAAAATAATATTATTTCAAATAAGGTAATTATCTAGTTCCTTGATTATCCATATGAAGGCTTCCAAAAGACTCCAAGAGGAGCCTCAAAACCGTCCCATGTAGGAGGGTTCTAGAATCTGTCATCTGCTTAACTTTTGAACAATTACAGCTATAATTCTTCAACTTTTAATTAACTCTAATTAACCCAAAATTAATTCCAAATTAATTCTGGTTAATTCTAAATTAATTATAACTATTTCTAATTAATATATTAGTCATATGATATATTAATAAACATTTATCTCTCTCTAAAATCAATTTATGCAATTTTTTTGTTATAAGGGCAACCTAAAAAGGACTTTACTCTTATTCATCAATATTATACTAATTTAGTTAGGACCTTAGACACCTTAATCCAACACACTTAAGCAACTTCGTAAGAGAGAAAGACAGGGATAGAGGATGGCAATTTGACAATGAGAGAAAGAGTAGAGAAAGACTAGCTAAAAATACAAGCCTTACACTCTCTTATATATTCACACTTGATATCTAAGACCCATGCTTTCATCAGAGGTATGGTGCATGTAAGAAAAAGTCAAACAAGCAACATCCCATCCACCTTGGATGGTTTTGGCCGAAAAGAGGATATATAAGAAGTAGGGTGTCAAATACTTCACCTCGTTAAACTAATGTGCATGGTTAAGTTTAGTGGAATCCAATGTGTCCAAAAACTTTTACATGACTTATTAAATCATACCATATGATTTAATAACTAGGTACACTCTCTTGAAATATTATTTTCATAAAATAATAATTCCCTAATTGAATACAAGAGTTGAATATATTTATTAATAATCAAATACTTAACAAATATCCATTAAGTGACCACTTGATAAATGTGTGACCCTATAGGATCATATGTTATTAGCAATAACATTTTATAATGATTCTTAAGCATATAATCCAAAATTGTTTTGCTCTATAACTCTTCACCTTCAATTCCTATAGAACTGGTCATTCATGCATTAAGTATTCAATTCATGTCGAATACATGTTTTATTCACATTCTATCTACCAATTGTACAACTTGACAACCAATTCAACGATTCATAAGGTTGTCTTACCATTCTTGTGTTGTCATAACACTTTGGTTATAAGCATAACCCTCTTATAATTCTCAACTAAGTTTGTCATGGATTCTAACACGTTGTGTTTTGAACCACTAAAAGTACCAACTTCAAACTCACGCTAATACATCATTAGTTTGGTAATCTCTACTAATGACATGCTAATTTCCATAAACATGCTTTAAAATTACATATTACCAAACTACATAACTTGTACTTTTCATGTTATGCATCAAGTACTTGTACCGTTTCTAGAATTCATGTTATTTCTTCAATTTATAATTAATTCCACTTAATGATGAACTAATACATGATTAATAATTGATTATTTATTTCATCATTTGCCCAAACCCTAAAAACTAGGGTTCTTTAAAATATATATATCACTTGAATTAAAATTATACAAACAAAGGGTTTAGCTTAGTACCTTGTTTTCTTCACTTAGTTATCAAAAGACTCTTGATTTGAACTTGATTTATGCTTGAAATTCATTCACACACGCTATTTCACCAAGTTTTCTTAACTTAGTTATCAAAAGACTCTTGATTTTGAACTTGATTTATGCTTGAAATTCATTCACACACACTATTTCACCAAGTTTTCTTAACTTAGTTGTCAAAAGACTCTTGATTTGAACTTGATTTATGCTTCAAATTCATTCACACACGCTATTTCACCAAGTTTTCTTAACTTAGTTATCAAAAGACTCTTGATTTGAACTTGATTTATGCTTGAAATTCATTCACACATGCTATTTCACCAAGTTTTCTTAACTTAGTTATCAAAAAACTCTTGATTTGAACTTGATTTATGCTTGAAATTCATTCACACACTATTTCACCAAGTTTTCTTAACTTAATTATCAAAAGACTCTTGATTTGAACTTGATTTATGCTTGAAATTCATCCACACACACTATCTCACCAAGAACATGCACACACTTAACCTTTTAATTATTATAAAATATTAGTGGGTTATATTTGACAATTATTGTATGTTTCCGTTATACACTATATTGTTATAAATTGTAGTTTAAATGAACTTTTGATGTACTTCATGTGGAATTGGGGTGTTAAAAAAACAAGTGTCAATGGAAAGTACAATGCTTTTTCACTTATCCTAGCCTTATTTGTGAAAGTGGGTTATAAAGTAAAAGATATAGAGTAACTATGTCAATCCATTGAGATGATAATAAGATGGCCGGTTTACCATAAAACTTTCTTCACTCGTGATAAAAAAAATGACCCAAGTTAATTTTCATTCTATGCTATTTGTCCCTAGTCATTTTTAACAGCTTGTTAAAACTAGAGGGTGTTTTATGTAAATTGTGGAAATGAACCTTGGAATTTTGCTTTTGCTACCACCAAATCTCTTTATTGTTATCCAAACACAGTTATTGGTTTAGGCGAGGGTTTTGAAGAAGATGGGGAAGCCGAAGAAAGAATTGTTAGCATCGGCGCCATGGCGCGCCGGAGGAGACGATCAACGAGATAAATTCAAAGACGCGAAGCTCAAAGTCACCGCCCAGCCAGGAAGCACCCCTACTATGCACGTTCCAGGCAAGAGGAAGCCCAAAGATGTTGCTGCCGATGAAGACGATTCTCTCGAAATCGACCCTGAACTCCGTTACAGCTTCCAACGCAATTTTCAGGTAAAACCACCTCCTCATTTCTTCAATTACTTGCCTTTTTCTAGATGTATCTGCAATTCCAGCAGCATACACTTGATTAGTTTCCTTGTGTGTTAGTTGAATTAGGTTTTACATCTTCCCTTGTCTCAACAAAAGACCAATATACGACTTCTTAAATCGCTATTAAGAGATAATATGATTTTTAGTGTTGTAAATGGTTTATTATTGTCATGGTATACACATTTTCAGCTTTAATTTGCTAAAAGAAATAGACAATTATGAATCTGAGGATTAAGGGTTTGAATTTCTTTAACTGAAAGTGGTTGTGGTTGTGGTAGGATGGATTTTTGACTTACTTTCTTGGATTGAAATTTTCTTAATCCTTCGATTAAAGAAGTAATTTTACAAAAATTAATACCATGTCAACATTTTACAGTTCTTGCAACGGGTCTTCAGCATTGATACTCTTGTGAAACCACTACCTTATTCAATGCAATACAATGTTTCTCGCAACTTGAGCTTCTTCACACGCATCTTCACACAGTTCTATGGTAAGTACAAGCATTATATTTACCATGATATTTTAACTACTATAAAAGGAAAGGTTAAATGCAAGAAACAGCAACATTCTTTCATTAATTTGTTTATTCTAGCATTCATCATGTTGAGTGTTGTATTATTGGTAGATCCTCAAGGTATTGCAAATGCTCAGAAGGCTCTTGGAATAGGACAAGAAGACAAAGTCCGTAATGTCCGTTGATAAAGCTGTGTTATTTGAGATTTTTTTTTTCTTTTTCTTTGTGTTGAAATGATGTTGATGAGTTACAACAGTTTGACATCTTGTTCTTAACATTTTACATGACAAGTTTATTTTATTATGTTTGATGATTCTAAAGCCAAGTAAATCAATTTGTTATTGATGAATTGGTAAATTATACCTTTTGTTTACAACAAGTTTTACAAATTGTGTGGATTTTTTTACAAGAGTTTGATGTGAAACTTGACTTGAGTCTAATATTAAGCAAGTTAGTTTGAATGTATTGTAAAAAACTTTTGAAGATATGAATGTAAATTTATTTATGTGTTTAATTATTGTCAGCTAACCTTGCACATGTCACAAGTTTACAAAGTCGTATACACCAAAAACTGCAGCTCATGATATGAGTCTTTATCTTCTGTAATTGAAAATTTGTCACCAAAAAGGGTCATATGATAAAAGTTTTGAACGCAGAACTTCTTTGCTATTTACTTGTTTTCCATTTCAATATTTGCAATAGGAAAACTGGTTTAGCTAAGGGTTCTTGCTACTTCAACTTTTGATGATTCCAATTTCCAAAAGAACGTGTGTGAATTGAAATTTGTTGAAGATACTATAGAAATAGAGAATAAACTAGTTTTTTTATTCTATACAATTCACTATTTTTTTAATAACAAAAAATTTGAAGACAACTTTTGGACTCTATTTACTATAATATATTTATGAAGTTTTTGAAAAACAAAAGGAAGAGAAAGGACAAATATAAAAGTTGAGTAAATAAAAGAAATCCCTACCCTAATAAAAGAAACCATAGTATGCCACCTATCATTTTCTCAACCAATTATTTTTCAAAGTTAAATTCCTATAATACCCTCCTCTCATTTTTAACAATTACGTGTGTGTATATATATATATATATATATATATATATATATATATATATATATATATATATATATAAAAGTGGAGCGTTGGATCAAAATTAATTCATTAAGGACATGATCGTCATTTTACCAATCTCATTTAATGTTTAATTTTTTTTGTTATTAATATATTAATATAAATGTCTAAAAATTTACATAAAAAATTAAATTTTCAGATTTTTTAAAAAATATTATTTTTGAATTTTTTTTAAAGTGCAGATTTTTAAATTTTTTATAATATAAAAAACATGAATTTTTGAAAAAAAACATTTTTTTTAAACTGCAAATTTTTCAAAAAAATTGCAATTTTTAAAAAAAACTGCATTTTTTTTTCAAAAAAACTGCAATTTTTTTTAAAGAAAACTGCATTTTTTTCCAAAAAAAAATGGATTATTTTTTTTGAAAAAAAACTACATTTTTAAATAAAAAAAACTGCAATTTTCTTAAAAAAAACTGCATTATTTTTCAAAAAAACTGCAATTTTTTCAAAAAAAAAACTACAATTTTTTCAAAAAAACCGCAATTTATTAAAAGAAAATTGCAATTATATCAAAAAAAAAAAAAAAAACTGCAACTTTTTTAAAAAACTGTAATTTTTTTCAAAAAAAAACTGCAAGTTCTTTAAAGAAAGCTGCATTTTTTTCAAAAAAAAACTGCAACTTTTTTTTTAAAAAAACTGTAATTTTTTCATAAAAACTGCATTTTTTTAAAAAAGTAAAATTTTAAAAATCAATATATTAAAAAAAAAGAACTAGAATATTTAAAAAAAATACTCTTTTTTTTAAACAATAAAAATCAAAGTTTTAGGTGCATATATACATATTTTTTTCAAATGCATATATGCATATTTCTTATACTATAATATTCGTAAGTAAATTATAAAAAAATTTCATTTTTATTAATTAATCTATAAACATAATAGTATAATTATTTCATTCGATACAAAATAAAATATAAAAAATAAAAAATGCTACAAATTTCAAAATGTTTTCATGTCTTCGTGTCAATATTTACTTATTTTCTTCAATTTATCATTTTTCACATCTTCAATATTCACCAAAATTTCTTCCAAATCTACAAGAAAATTAAAAAAAATGATTTATGCAAAAACACTCACAAAAATACATATGTGATTTTCATGTGATTAACATATGAATCACATGCGATTCACATATGAATCACATTTACATATGACATCATATCTAAATCACATGTAAATCACATGCGATTCACATAAGAATCACATGTGATTCACATGTGAATCATATGTGAATCACATGTGATTCAAATGTGAATCATATGTGCTTCATATGTGAATTACATGTGATTTACATGTGAATCACGTGTAATTGTGATTGACATGTGAATCATATGTAATTCATATGTGACCAACTTGTGATTTTCATGTGAATTACATCTTTATTCATATGTAAATTACATGTGATTTACATGCGAATCACGTATAATTGCGATTTACATGTGAATCACATGTGATTTTAATATGAATTACATGTGATTTACATGTGAATCACATGTGATACATATGTGAATTACATGTGAATCACGTGTAATTGTGATTTACATGTGAATCACATGTGATTCATATGTGAATTACATGTGATTTACATGTGAATCACATGTAATTCATATGTGATTTACATGTGAATCACTACACACTTATAATCATGTTCAAGTTGTTGTTAAGAAAATGTATATGTAGATTGTAAATTATTGCTTAATGGTAAAAATATTACCATCAACAAGAAGAATAACAAGTGGCACTAATCTACAATACAGAAGGCCCATAGATGTGCCCTCAACACGAACAACCTGATAAAAAAGAATAAACCATTTAAACCAACAAAACTTACAGAATGGAAAAAAAAAGATAAAGAGTAAAATTCACCTCAAGCTCAGAACAATCTGCTTTTAAAGTCCCATTTGATTCATTGTTATATGAAGACGGGACAATTTGCTAAATTGTTTTTCCCTCTCATATCGATTTGTAAATGAAAAACCATCAAGAATCAATAGAGAAAAACATGTAACAAGATGCAATTTTTTGAGGAAAATGTTTTGGGTCATACTTGATATAATTACTCTCAGTGGAAAATGTTTTGAGGAAGTCATCTTTTGTCTCAACAAGATTATCTGCAAAAATGTTCTGCAAGAAAAAAAATTATAAAGATCAGTATTGTGTTATCATAAAAATAAAATAAAGGGTAAAAAGTGAGTACTCAATGATCACCTAAACAGAAGAATTAAGATCTGTGATTTTCTTTCCCAGCCTTTATAAGAAAAAAACAAAATCAACGATTAAAAGGAGACAAAGTCAGACTACATGTAAGCATGTACTTTAACATTTCAAAAAAAAAGGTTAAATGCATGAAGTAACAATGTACTTCCATTTAGTTATTTATTCTAGCATTGTAATTTCATTTTTTCTATTAAGTCCCACTTTAATAAAAACTTAAATTATTGTGAAGTCAATTTTTTTCTTCTTAGAACATTGAACGTTGAAAAACATATACATTTTCTTATTGGATTGGCAATGCTTTTATATGTCCCTGAAAAGTTTTACGAGCTTAGTAATAGGCTAAAAAGTATCAAGAATCAAAGAGGCCAAAGTCGCCTTACTACAATGGAAAATGAAAATTAATTGGTATGAAATGTAGTAACTGTACATTAGGATATCATCATATCTTTATAATACCACCAAAACTTTGGTTGCTTTGGTTTTAAACGTGTAGCTAGTTAAAATAATCTAACCAGTATGCTTTTCTATATGTGATATTTTTCAACTTCTCTCTAAATCCATCACTCTTGTATGATTCTAGATCAAAGAGAACAATTTCCCTCAAATTTTAGTTTGTAATGTACAGCACAAACTAAATATAATTTCTTATTGGAATATGTGTAGTGTTGGTATTAGCGATTATAATGTGACTAATGGTTGTTACAGGTGTTATATGACCAGTTTTAACCTCAGGAGTAATGATAGAGGAAGATGGATGGTTTTACCCCTGGTGTTCATATTCCTAGCTCTTAACAGATTGTGGTTCTTCCATGATATTAAGTGATTTGTGATCGAAACTCTGCACTAGCAAGATCAAAACTTTGTTTCAAGGAATATAACACCTAAAACAACTCTGCAAGAACAGAGATGTCTTACAATATAGCGTCAACAAGTCAGCAAGTTATGCACAAGGGGATCATCACCACGCAATTTAAAATAGTCACAATTGAATATTCAAGTTTGTTCATAGTTTATCCTTTAGGAATCAGGAGCAGATAACATCATGCAATAAAAATTTACGTTTATAATTTGGATAACATAGAGGAACTAAGGAAGTAATCTTCGAGGATTTAAGAATTTCCCAATGTGCATAAATTTTCTTCATCATTCTAGACATGATACAAGAACGTGTGGGACTATGTACTAGCCTAATTGAAATATAAAACTGAACATGAGTAATTGAAATAGCTGAAATTTCAATCACCTATTAATGAACAAAGAACATATTATGATGCGATTAATTGAGATTGTAAGAAAGTGCTTTCATAGTCACCTGCTACAGAACGACAACGAGACCTGAAGCTGCTACAGTTTATTTCAAGTCTCCATGGGCAATTGCAACAAAATCAGGTGAATAAACTTACTGGTTTTAATTCGTTTAGTGATGATAGAGAGGAAGAAATGGTTGTGGAAGGCGATGAGACCGTCGATCTGACTCCAGACAGTTCCGATTCTATGAAATTTAGGAGAGTTGATAGCGGTGGCGCTAGCGGTAGAGCTGGAGAGGAAGATGACTCCGCTTTGCGAGCCGATGATTCTTCCACAAAGTCATTAAAAAGGATTCGTTTGGTTTGGACGCCTCAACTGCACAGTGATAACAACGCCACCACTTGTACTAGGTTTAGGACCTAAAGTGAGGCCAAAAGGCTTGTCGACTTCAACTTCGGTATCCTTTCAAGCACCTGTGGTTTTTCTAGATTTGATATCTAAACCTCTTCTTCCTTTTACAGACATGATGGTCTTCTCCCTAAAAGTCATCCACACAATCCACTGAAATACGCCGCTCGTCGCCATTAATGAGATTAAATGAGGTGGAGATGTAAATCGGTGAACGGATATGAGTCAGAGATCAAAAATTGGTGATTCATAGGGTGTGGAGGAGCAATGAATCAAAAATTTTAGGGAAAATCAACGGCAATGAGACAATTGGTGATTCACAGGAGTGTAGAGGAGCAAAGGTGGAGGTGATGCACTCCAGCGACTGAAGACGACAATAAGAATGCGACGAGATTCAGGGATTTCATCTCAAAATCTGTGATGAAGAAGTGAGAATCTCAAAATCTGGGATGAAGATGGACATGAGAGAGAGAGAGAGAGAGAGAGAGAAAGATGATGAGAGAGAGTTGTATTTTCAAAATTAATTTTGATTAATTATTATGTTTGTTAATTTTTATCCCTTAACTACCCTTGTAATTTATTGTAAAAAGTCAATGTTACCATTGAAATTGTTAATAATTACAAATATGTCATCTTTGATCTAGGCCATTAAAAGTTTTGATCTAACGCTCCACTTTTAGTGCTCGGGTTCTCGGGAAACTTTAGGTTCTCAAATGATCTTTCCTCTCTCTCTCTCTCTCTCTATATATATATATATATATATATATATATATATATATATATATATAGATATATATATATATATATATATTAACAACCCATTTGAATGCAATCCCGTGACATTAGGAGGCAATTGATTCCAACTTTTCCTTTCATATCGTATAACATCAAACTTTCAAAATTAAAGCTGATATATCAGCAAAAAAATCAAGGATTTTGTTGATGGTTACCTTCTAAATCTGTCCGATTTATGAAGCTGAAACTTCTCCATTTGATATTCTTGATTAGGGATGTTTTCAGCCACAATTTTTGAATTCTCCTTTTTAATTATTTGGGGGTCTATTCTTCTGCTTACTTCTTGGTTGAATTGCTCCACCAAACACCAATCGCATCAGACTAAGCTCTCTCTCTCTCTCTCTCTCTCTCTCTCTCTCCGAGTACAACCATGTTTGTTTTTATACCATCTCTTTGATTGTGTGTGTATGTGATCTGGTTCTCCCCATATAACGAAGGTGTTTTCCTCTATTGCTTCTACCAAGAGTTGCCACCAATGACCGATTGACATTGTTTTCCTCTCTCAGAATATCCCTAAACCACGAGCATCCCTTTTCTGTATGTTATTTTCTTAAAGTGACGTTATTGGAATATGAAGATCTCGAAATGGTTCCACTGGAAAATAAAGATAATATTTTGGTTATTCTGTTTTGTGAGTGTGAAGCTACATATCCACCTAAAAATGAAGAGTTTGCATCTTGTAGCACTATTGATGTGATTAATATGTGAGTAAAGCTGAGTGGTCTTAGACCTTTATGTCTTATTTTATGGTCTTTTGGATACAGTTTTTTTCAGGGTTGTCATTCATGCCTTAGATCATGATGGAACACAACCTTTTTTTTTTACAAAATAGATAAATTGATAACCAAATTTGAATAGATTAATACACTCGACAGACATTTATGATTTTCTCTTATGACTTTATGGTGAACAAGAGAAGGTGCTAATAAGTTGTTGAGTCTATAAAGGTAGGAGACCCTTTGATTGCTGATGACCAAGAAGAAAAAGATAAACTACTAGAAGAGCTACCTGGAATTTTTTTTTCACAATATACATTATTATGATTATTATACATATTATCATTATTCATCAAAAGGTTTTTTTGACCTGGAGTAGGAGAGACTTAAATTCATTAACAGGAGCTCGTGGGAATTATGTTCAAGTGAAGTGTGAAATAAAAGGGAAATCAGAAGAGGAAGTTGAAATATAAGTTATGGTCTTTTAGAATGAATGGTAAACGCCACTCTTTTTATAATAACACTTGATTGCTTATCGATTTAAGAAATCGTTGATTCATTTCAATAATTAATTTTGCAAGAGGAACTTGATGTTCTTTACGTATTTTAACTGAAATATAAACCATTAACATGGTCCCAACATACCAGATGGTAAAAAACAATTGGGTTGAATGTAAAGTTGGTCCCTATGGGACGCTAACATGCCTAATGGCACCATCGTTCTTCAGGTTTGTTTTACCTTTCATATTAGTTGTTTTTCTTTTGTTTGATAGATCAAGTCGACCCAGCCATCATATTTATTAAAATCATAAAATCATAATTTTAATGAAAATTTAAATAATCAATATAAAAATCTAAACAAAACTTATATCTTTCTAATTTAATAAAATTTTATAATTTTTTTTCATTATCATTTTTAATTATCAATATATTTTTTTTCTTACCCGTGGTTTCCACGGGTTGTAACCTAGTTAAAAATAAAATCATTGGTTTGTACAAGGACCATTTTTGTCAATCTGGAAACCGTATTTGGGAATCGGGTTTGGGGGGTTAATGTTGCCATCGGACCAAAAACTGAGGACCAAATCCACCAATTTCAAAAATTAGATCACATGTTTGATGTTACTCCCCTACAAACCTATTCCCATCGAAATCCAATTGATTCCAGTCTCAAATACACAACTCCTTGACCATTTAGAGTCTCAATCTTGAAGAAAGTGAGATTGTCGGGTTAGGGTTTCAAGAGAAAAATAAGGCTAGCTCGTTTCCAGAACATTCCAATGTATGAAACTATTTCTAATACTCCTTACTCCTTGGTATAGTCTAGACATGTCCTTGATGATCAAGAAGACTCACAACCACCCTAGGCACCTAAAAATTTGTCCCGAAAATTGTACAACTCTAAAGACAACAAACATTTGTGATCTTGCGAGGGTTATAGAGAAAAATATGGGCCAAATTAGGAAAACAACCCAAGACAATATTTGTAGGAAATTTTGTCTACTTTCACTGGAATCAACTCAATTAGAGTTATTTATGTGTTATAACCACAACAGAGGACGGGATAAGAGTTGTTTTCTGAGCAAAGTGACCTGAACAGACCTTGTTGAGTGCTGTTATGACTAAGACTTCACTCTCTTAACTCCTCTAGTCTTGTATGGGTGCCTATAACCAAGAAAACAACCAATTTTGACTTGATTTTTGTCCTGAAAGCCTAAGAACCGAGAGCAACCTTGTTAGACTTGTTTCTGGATTTCTACCTCATGTTTAGAGTACTATGAGATTTGTTATTAGACTAAGCAGAGTGACACTCGCCAAGTCACTCCCCATGCTTGCCAAATATGTAGAACACCGCCCCCAGCTCTTGCTAGGGGCTCTCCACCTAAAAGTCACCATGCACAAAGCGAGAAGTATGAACAATTCTGATTGGTGGAATGTTTTTGACACGGATGGGTATTGAGACTAAGGGGAGTGGTAACACTCCTAACATCTTGCCACGTCGGCTTTTTGAGTGCTATCTCATTTTTCTTCCTTTAACACCTAATCTTAACATTTGAAGGGAGTGGTAACACTCCTAGCACTCCATTTTTTTATTCACTTTTTCTAATTTAGTTTAATTACTTTATTTTAATAAACAAACATTTTTATTTAATATTATATAAATATATTTTTTTTAATATTACACAAACATTTTTTTTTATTTAATTAGTATGACATAATTTTTTTAACGACAAACACTTCATATTAAATAAAAACGATTACAATAACTTAAAACACGATTTAATACTACTTAAGACCTAAAAACACGATTTAATACATAAAAAACACACTTCATTACTAAAACTCACTTCATAAAAAAAACACACACACACTAAAGCAACGGGTCTTCCTCCAAATACTGACCTTCCAATTCGTCTTCCGGTGGCATATTTAGATCAAGATTGTCCATCGTCCAAAGATGATCGGTCAAATGGCGGCGAAGATCGGTATGGATTACTGCATTGTGAATTATCCTCATTCTTTGTATCCATTCTTGACCACCATATTCTAGTGGTTGTGTCTCCGGGATGACTTCATTCTCGTCGTACACACATATCGCGTTTTCCTTCATGTTCTACTATCGTATTATGCAATATGATACATGTATACATCACCTCTGCCATATTAGAAATATCACGAAACATTGATGGTTTTGCAACTATCTGCCAACGCTTTTTAAGTGCTCCAAACGTTCGTTCGATATCTTTTCTTGCTTTTTCTTGGACTCTCTTAAATTTGGCCCTCTGAGGGTCATCCGGACATGACAAAATTTTAACGAAAACAGAAAGCTCATGATAGATCTCATCCACAAATTCATAGACGTGAAGCTCAAAGTCACCGCCCAGCCAGGAAGCACCCCTACTATGTACGTCCCAGGCAAGAGGAAAAGTCCAAAGACGTTGCTGCCGACGAAGAGGATGCTCTCTAAATCGACCCTGAACTTCGTTACAGCTTCCAACGCAATTTTCAGGTAAAACCACCTCCTCGTTTCTTCAATTGCTTGCCTTTTTTATAGATGTATCTGCAATTCCAGCAGCATACACTTGATTAGTTTCCTTGTGTGTTAGTTGAATTAGGTTTTACATCTTCCCTTGTCTCAACAAAAGACCAATATATGATTTCTTAAATCGCTATTAAGAGATAATGTGATTTTTAGTGTTGTAAAAGGTTTATTATTGTCATGGTATACACATTTTCAGCTTTAATTTGCTAAAACAAATAGTCAATTATGAATATGAGGATTAAGGGTTTGAATTTATTTAACTGAAAGTGGTTGTGGTTGTGGTAGGATGGAATTTGACTTACTTTCTTGGATTGAAATTTTTTTAATCCTTCGATTAAAGAAGTAATTTTACTAAAATTAACACCATGTCAACATTTTACATAATCTGAAGTAAGTGTTCTCAATTTTCTACTTAAGACCTTGTCTTGTACTGCCTTTGGTGTGCAATGTACCGACATTGG